CAGTAGACATGGGGGTGCAATAAACTGAGGTCTTGAAATGGTCAACATGGACAGGAAAAGCCTCCTTTGTTTGATCATCTCTGATATGTTGGGTTCTGGCTTTGAGCATTATGTGACTTATCCCTTTGAATTTTTATAATAACTCTGCCAGGTATTATCACCCCTATTTTTATAGATAAGGAAATCGAGCTCAGAGAAATCAAAGACAACTATCAAGACCACATAGTTCATAAAAAGTAGAATTAGTGTTAACACTCATGTCTGCCTTTCCTCTAAATTTTTTTTCTTCTGTGTGAAGCTGTCTCTGCCTTCACATTTCTATAGCTGACACATGAGTTTAGGAGTTCATTGGTCAGCTGGAAGACAGAGGAGTGGGATGGGGGTTGGGGGCAGCAAGCTAGACACAAACAGCAAGGTAATTAACTGGACAGACCCTGGTTAGGCTAATCTGCATGGGAAAGCACCGATGAATAGTAGTTCAGAGAGTCAAGAAAATGTTTTGAGTAGGGCAGTGCTAGGAATGAGGAAAATGAAACAGAACCCTCTGAGGTGTAGCTATTGGCTTTCAATCAGACTATGATTATTTAGTGAGTTAATGAAAGAATGATGGCAGAGACATACTTGTTCATGAACACTGAGTGTTTACCAAACCTTTGAGCTTTGTAAAACAAATGAAAAATATGTCAACAGTGTTAGAAATAATAGACCCAGAGATCAGAAGGTAGAATGATGGTTAAGACACTAGACTCCCACATGGCCGACCACGGTTTGTGTCCACAGCTTGTTGGCTTGAACATCATGCTGAGCGTGTGTGTGTATGCCCAAAATTCCAAGAAGAGACTGGAGAAGAGGGGATTGTGGTGCGGCTAGTCGCCCTGAGGAGTGATCTCTCACTTTCACTCTCATTCTCTCTCTCTCTCTCTCTCTATATATATATATACATATATATATGTATATATATATATATCTCCAACAATAGCATATATCCTATGACAAAAATTTAAAAAAAAGAAAAAAGAAAGAAAGATAAAAAAGAACTAATAGACCTGAGATTATCTTTTGACTAGTTCTTAAACTTGGCTACATTTTGAAATAATCTAGAGTGTTTCAAGCAATATTTATGCCCTTTTATATATAAAAAATAACAATTATATAAAAATCTCTGGAGATGGAACTCAAACATCACAGTCATAATATTAAAGTGCTCCAGGTGATTTCAGTGTGGAGCTAAATGTGAGGATAGACCTGTGATAGCCCTTTGTCTTCGAATGCAGCATGGAACAGGGAGTCCTCTGATAAGCACCATAACCTGATGCAGAGTGGAGCTTTATTTGGGGAATTAGATGTAATACAAAAAACAGGACCTATTGTCAAAGGTTTTTGGAATATGCTAGATTAAC